CCTCAGGCCCTCATGCCCGTGTCCTGGGCCCTGAGGCCCGAGTCCTCAGGCCCTGGGCCACGAGCCCTGAGCCTCGAGCCCTGGGCCTTGAGCCTGAAGTCCTGAACCCTGGGCCCTGAGCCCCTGGGCCGTGAACCCAAGGCCCTGAGCCCAAGGCCCTGGTCTCTGAGCCCTGAACCCTGCGCCCAGGGCCCTGGGCCCCGAGCCCTGGGTGCCCAAAGGAGCCCAACGGAATCCCAAGGATGCAGAGAATTCAAGAGCACCTCGAAGGAATCCCCCTGCGGGGGCCTGACTTTTTTCCTGTGAAGATACACACAGAACCTGCCCTCTTAGCTGTCAATGAGCCATCCAAGAATACACAGAAACTCCCGATCAAGGGCATGGCTAGTATCAGTTACTCATGTGACGGAACCTTGCTAGAGACAACATGCACACGTGGGGATCCCCGCGTCAAATCTCAGATTGTGGCGAGGGGGGTCCCTCCGGAGTTCCCCAGAAGCGCGGAGGCCCCCGGAGTCCCAAGCAAGATTGAGAGGCCAAACGCGTTCAAACGTCCTCGATGCTTGAACCTCGTCGTCGAAGCGTGGATTGCAACTGCCACCGCCCATCCGCAAGGCTGGCTGTCAAGGCGGGCTCCCCTCCGCCCCCCGAGGCGCCCGACTCGCCCTGCGGCGTCGGCTTCCGCGACGCCTCGGCCCAGGGTCTGCCGGCCTTCGCCTGCGCTGGGCGCGGCCGCGGGGCCGGGGGAGCAAAGTGGAGCGGCAACAGCACACTGGATGGCGCGCATGCCCCACTGGACGGCCCGAACGGATAGGATAGCCTGCCCCAATGGATAGCCCCCCTGGATAGCCTGCCCCCTGCTCCACAGCGCGCCTGCCCCACTGGATAGCCCCACTGGATAGGGCTTGGCGGTGGCGCGGCGGGGCCGGCGAACACGGCATTACGGGGATGGGTGCAGCTTTCGGTGTCCACGCTGTGCGTCGGATGGCAAAACCTATCTAGCTGACGGTATGCACATCTAACGGCTAGATTGGCAGGAATGCGGGCTGACGGTTAGACTCTGACCCATGGTCTATCTCTCTCTACATATGTATATGTATGTACGTATCCATGGGTAGATATATGTGCACGTATACAAACACGCATACATACACCCACATACACATACGTGAACAAATGGATATGTCACCCTTGGTGCGTGGCTGAAGTGGGGCTCCTCAGTGCTGATTCTCGCTGCTGAACATTGAGTACACGACGACTATTATTGTTGGACCCCGTCCATGCGCTCTGGCGCTCTCGCCTTAGCGGGGCCTGCATTTCCTTCGAAAACGAGCTCCGCGCTGGAGCGTGATGGGGTTGAAGCGGAACCGCCCCCCCCCCCTCTGGCTTTTCACTCCGGACTCGTGAACTTTCTCGCCGCCGGAAAATTGCCCTCCGATGAAGCCAACGATCCCGCTGGATGGTCCCTCGCCTTTTTATTCTGGAGTGGCGCTCTCCCTCCTTGTCTCGCTCTAGGCGGGCGCTCTTGCTCGCCACCGACACTCGTCCTTACATCAAAACAAGCGCTCCCGTTGAACAGTTGTTCTTGTTGCAGGAATGCCACTCTTGCCTCGGCGTAGCAAGCCGTCCCCCTACAACACCACTACCAACAACACCACCACCAACAACAACAAATACACCAACAACGGCAACAATAGCAACAACGACACCACCACCACCACCACCAACAACAACAACAATGATATTAAGGCTGTTCGCTCCTATCCGTTCGCGTGACATTCAACACGTATGTCCCAAACCCTCGGTGCCCGCCCTCGTCATCTTCAATCATACCCCTTGGGGATATACCTTTCTCACCTGCCACGCGCAATTAGCGCAGCTCTTAAAACGAAGAGAGATGATAGGACGGATGGAAGGGGGAAGGAGGAGGATGGAGCACGAGAGAACTTAACAGGAGGGGAGCTGAGGGCAGAAAACGCGTGGCAGAACCAGAAGGGCAGATCGGGCGGGCAGACCCCAGCAGGCGGGTCGGGAATGCGGGCCCGGGCGGCCAGGTCGAGCAGGCGGGTTGCTGAAGCGTGAATCCTGCATGTTTCGCGAAAGTGTCTCGAACGATAGCGCGATTCCCAATACTACCGTGAGACAGGCGAGAGCGAGAGCGTATTCCTGAGTGTCGAAGGCACGGCGTCAGAATACCTTGCGAAGAGGTCCCACGCGAGAGCGAGATTATTGCATACGTTGTGAGGAAGTCCCGCGCGAGATCGCGATTTTGGAATACACGGTGAGGAAATACCAGGCGGGAGCCACTGTTGTTGTAGCTGGGGGGCCAGGCGCCCAGTTTAAGCACGAAGACTTTCCCTGATAGAAAAGCGGGTGCAAGCCCCGAGAGGGGCACTTCAATTGAAAACACACTATATGCATTGGTGGGGGGACCAACAATGATTGTTCCTCAGGTGTGAGACTTCTTCTTATTCAGCAACATCAGCAACAACAACAATGCTCTCGCTCGATCCTTCCGCATGTTGTACTTCGGACTGGCGCGCTCTTGCTCGCGGCCGACAACCGGCCCTCCAACAACAACCAGCGCATCTGCTCGATCCTTTCTCGTCGTGCGCTCAGAAGAAGCACGTTCGCCTCTTTTTTGCAAGCCGCCCGCGCCACACAACAGCAACGCCAAGTTAACGCCGCGCTCCCCCCTCCCCACACCCGACGCCCACAGGAGGGCCCAGGAGGCATCTCAAGAGACCCAAAGTCGCCCCAAGAGGCCTCCAGGCCTCTTGACCAGGATCCAGGCAGCGGGCGGCGGGATGGGACGAAATCCACTGGACACAAGTCTCGTCCCTCCTCCCCAGGCTCCTCCTCCTTCCTACACATCCGTCCCATGTCCTTCCTCCTCGTTCCCGCCAGCTCCCCATTCCTCTGCCAAACCCTCCTCCTCCTCCTTCTCCTCCTCCTCCTCCTCCTCCTCCTCCTCCTCTCGAGGCCTCGTGTGTGGGGGGGGGGTGGGGGAGGGGCGCGTCGCCCGGGCCGCAGCGTACTGCACTGCCATTTGCCGCAAGAGCAGCGCCGTGGCCACGTCCACCGCCGCCACCAGCGCCAGGTGGACGAGCGCCTCCCCGAAGGGGGGCTTTCTCAGTCGCTGGGCGTCGGCTTCTCGAGAGGCCCCAGCGAAAGGGGGGAGAACCAACGGGGTCCAGCTTCAGTGTATACTGCGGCGTTGCCGCGACCTTGCCGAACCATGTGCGGTCTCAAAAAGCACTGGCTGGCTGCCAAGTCCGCGGTAGATCCACCACCGTGCCGCTGGGCACGGAATGGGCGTGCCCAGAGGTCTTTTGCCTAATCCCCTCAGCCTGTCCCCAGTCCGAAGGAGTCATTACGGGGCCCGGACCCAAGTTTCCGAAATCTCGCGGGGCTTCCCGCGTGCCCCCTGGGCGTTGCCAAGTGGTGGGGCGTGATTTTTCGGGGCCCGAGAGGGCACCAGACGGGCCAAGAGGGCCCCAAGAGGCCCCGAAGACGGCCCAAGAGGGCCCAGAGTCGCCGAAAGACCGGCCCACGACGCCCAAGATGGCCCCCGGACGCCCCAAACGGCCCCCAAGAGGCCCCCCAGGAGGGCCCCAAGAGGCACGCATCATTGCTTTTCTGTGCCTTTTCGACTTTTCGCCGCTCGAGGACGACCCAAGAGCCCCCCCCCCCAGACCACCCCAACACGGCCCAAGAGGCCTCGAATAGGACCCAAAGACTGCCTGAGAGCGCCCCAAGACGGCCCGAGAGACGCCCAAGACGGCCCAAAAGGGCCCCAAAATGGCCTCCAAAGGGGCCCAAGAGAGGGAACAGGAACGGAAAATCCGAGCCTTCCGCCCCACGAGAGCTCCCAGGACGAGGAGGCGCCCAGGAGGCCCCCCAAGAGGCCCCGAAAGAGGCCCCCAAGAGGCCCCCAACAGGCTCCGAGGGGCTCCAAAACGGCCTCCAAGAGACATCCAAACTGTCTTCAAGAAGCCCCCGAGAGGCCTCCCACGAGATCCCAACGAACAACCAAACGGCCTGATACCCACAACCCTCCTCCTCGTCCTCCTCCTCCTCCTCCTCCAGGCGAAAAAAATTGGGTTATCGAATTCAAACGCGGGTTCTTGAATTCAAAAAACTGGTTCTTGATTTCAAAAACGATTTGTAAATTCAAAAACTGGTTTTCGAGTTGGCAAATCGGTTTTTTTGAATTACAAAACAAGCGTTGTGCAGGACACGACGTGAGGATATATGGAAACCGGACAGAAGCGCGATTTGCAATGAAGAAAGGACGCCTAACCCTTTAGGAGAGGCCTAATTCAGGAGGGTCCGACACAGTAGGGAGAAAGGGGTCTCTCCTACAGATGGATCGAATCAAACCGCCCACAGCTACTTTCCCGAGTTCAAAAAAGAGGATCTCAGTGAGGCCACGTCTTCGCTGTGCTGTTAGGGTTAAGGGGGTCTTTAGTTCTCGATGATGGGGTGACAAGGCCACGGCCCCAAACTGCAGTGTCCTAGAAGGGGGCAATGTCACCGCGCGAGACACCAGAGCATCTCGGGATGCCGCGGATCCCTGTCCAGGTGGAGAGTGTGAACAGGCGCTGATGCGGGCGGAACGGCAGCAGGACGCCGAGGCGGGAGTGGGGGAGGAGGGAGGGGGCACGACAGAGGGGGACTTGAAGTTCCTTATTACACCAAGGAGGAGGAGAAGGAGGAATCCGCTGCCCCTCATTAAAGCTACCCATGAAGCGCACCCAGGCGAACTCGACGACAGTGCAGTGAAGACAAAAGCTTGGAAAAGCTCTGGTCTCGAGGGAATCGCGGAGGGGGGCTCGAAACTTTGGACGCTTTTTGCCTTCTCGTGCCCCCCGGACTGTGCCTGGACGCCTCTGGGGACCTCCGCAACCATCTGGAGGCATTCGTGTGTGTTCTGTTCTAGCGGCTCTTTTGTTGCCGTGAATGGTGCGGGGGCTGTGTGGGAAGATTTCTAGGGTGGAATCCTGGAGTCCGAAAGCAACAGCACCAATCTTCCGACGCACGCCGTGACTACGTTTGGGGAGACATTGCCCCCCATCCCCTCCCCTCTCTCTTGCCCCTCCCTCCCCTCTCCTCCCTCTTATGCACTCCTCCCTCATTTCTTCTCGACCTCACATGGAACCACATCCTGGCCGTGGTTCGCACGCAGAGAGACGGCTGCGCGCCGCGTGCCCAGATGGGCGGAGGTCACGTGGGAGCCACGTTCCACTGCAGGTCGCACGTGGTCGGTAGCTGCATCGTCAGAAGCCCTCCCCCCCTCCCCCTCCAGGTGACTACCCCCTCTCCCCATCTCCTCTCTCTTGCCCCCCCCATCCCCTCTCCTCCCTCTTGCCCCGTCCTTCCTCCTTCCTTCTCGACCTCCCCCGGCACCACATTCTGGCCATGGTTTGTGCACAGACAGAGAGAAGGCTGCTCGCCGCGTGCCGACATGGGCGGAGGTCACGTGGGAGCCACGTCCCACTGCAAGTCGCACGTGGTCGGTAGCTGCATCGTCAGAAGCCCCCCCCCCTCCTCCCCCCCCAGGCGACTACATTCAAAACCAGTGACGGGGATAGAATTCAAGGATGCATGACCTTGGAACTTGCGGAAACAAAACACAATGCCGATCCACCAACAAAAACAAGGCCACCCGCAGGACGGTGAAACCGAAAACATGCAAAAGATGACCAGAACCGAAAGAATGCAAAATGCCCTTGCGAAGATGACCCATCTTTATCGCCGGTGTTGACTGTTCATGTGAGTCCATCCATGCAAGTCAGATGTACTAAAAAACGGCGGGGGGGGGGGTAGAATCTGAAGGAAGTCTGCAACCAAGTGAGCCCCACCAGGGGTGTCTGATACAACCAACGTCTTGCCATACTCAACCTTACCAACAAGACCAGCCAAATGCCGATAAAGAACTGGAGGGGTGGAACCAGGCACGGGACAAACATCGGGACAACCGTCTCCATCCATCGAAAAACTCGATCGGCCTCACTACCCGCCTCACGATACACCAACCGATCTCATTATCATGGTCGATCTATCGATATGCCATCGATCTCACCATCTGCCTAATGATCTATATATATATATTGACCTCACGATCCATCGGCCTTACGATCAATTCATCGATCTGACGAGCTGTGCATCGACTGCCTACATGTCGAACTCTCGATCCACCGATCCCACGATCAACCACACAATCGATATCTCTATTGACCGTCGTGTCGACTTATCGATCACACTGTCCATTTGCCGATCTCGCTGTCTACGCATGGTATCAGCTTTCGGAAAGAACAGCGCATTTGTTCGTTGCATGTTGGGCACAATCTCTGGGTGCCGAAAACGCCGAGCGCATGTCTTACCGAAATCCACCGGGACAAACGAGGGCTCCAGAGCGTCAGTGTCGTCGTCTCCCTGCGGGGTCCTCTGCGCTGGTCGTAAATCGTAAGGCCTTCCAGATTTGGGGATGCCCTCCCATGTTGGTTGGACCTGCCCGGCCAGGGCTCGCAGGCTGTCGACCCAGCCCGCTGAACGCGCAAGAGTGGCCCCGGGCGCGAGTGGCCTCTGGTGCCCGGCTTCGGGGGCGGGGCCGTGGGGCCAGGGCGCGCGGGAGCTGGGGGGAGCCTGTGCGGTCGGCGCTTCCGAGAGGGGGTGCTGAGGGATGGGGCCGCAAGTGACTACCTGCCAGACCACCCCAACCCAACCCGAAGCTCCGAATTTGACCCGAATTTGGGGTTTGGGGGGGTACGGGTTCCATGTGTTTTTCAATGTTCCCCGACCCCCCCCTCCCACTGGAAATGAAGGGCAAATTCAAGCCGATGGGTTGGGTTTGGGTGGTTTGGTGGGTGGTGAGCAAGGACAGGAAGGGGTCCCAGCTTGAGTCACCATTATTCGAAGACCCTCGTCCTTTGGTCGGGGGTTGCTGGAGGTGCCCCTGGCCCTAGAAGCCCCCAGCTTTCGCTCCATCTTGGAGCCCCTGGGGCCCTCTGGGCCTCGCGAGGGGTGCTCTGGAGGCCGTGGGGGCCTCCTTGGAAATCCTGCGGGCACCTCGGGCCAAGGGCACTTCTGGCAACACCCGATGATGGGGAAACTAAAAAGTACCGGTGCCGCTATTCCCTGGACCTCTCCCGGGGTGCGCTCTGACGAGAATTTCAAGGCGAACCCAGCGGTGGCGCCGAGGGCCTCCCAGGAGGCCCCAAAACGGCAGAAACGAGGGAAGGGCAGAGGTATCTCCTCCCTCCTCTGAGAATTCGTGCCCCGTCCATCTCTCTGGTCCCCACCTGCGCGGCTCCTCTGGTGGGCAAGCGCGCAGTACGAGGCGGGGATTGATCCATATCCACCGCCTAGACCCACGTCCTGGTGCCCCAGCGGGCGTTGGATCTGGAGATATTTTGGCCCACGGGGGCCCAGATATAGCCAGATCCACCGCCTGCCGAAGTCCCCGAAAATTGATCCTCTGGGCGGTGGTCCTGTCTGTGGGGGGCGGCCAAGAGGGGGGCGTCCAAGAGGGGGGCGCAAATCGTGGCCGGCAGCATGTGCGCGGCCCGAGGGGGGAACAGGGACGCAACGAAATAAGAAGATGCGTCATCAATTCTGAGGGAATATCATGGTATTCATCACCCCCCTCTTTGGGGAAACCAAAGGCTACCGATACCGCTACTCCCTGGACCTGGACCTCTCCTGAGGTGCGTTCTGACCAAGATTTCGTGGCGAATCCAGCGGTGGCGACGACGGAGACCCGGGAGGCCCAACAAGAGGAAAACGAGGGGAGGGTAGAGGCATGGGTACCGTTCCCTCCTCTGACTCTTGGCCGCTACCGAGTCTTGAACTCCCGTCGTGGATCTTCTGACCCGGGTCAATCCAAACCCGGGTCAGCCAGCCCTCGCAAAATCCTACAAGATCCTGCAGGATCCTGCACCCAAACCCGGGTCAATGCGAAGGATCCCGCAAAATCCTGCAGGACCCTGCGCCCAGCCCCCGGGCCAATGCGACCCTGGCCCTGCAGGATCCTGCGAGATCGGGCGCTCTGGCTGACCCCCGTTTGCATTGACCCCCGTCTGAAGGCTCCCGATCCCGCCGCGGACGCGGGGCCCCGGGGCTCACAGGAAGCACGCCAGGGCGGCCCGGGAGCCGCGGCGCGGCCGCGCCGCGGACGCGACAGGCGCGCGGGCCCGCCTCGCCGCCAGCGCCGGCGCCCCGAGGGCTGCCAGCGCCACCGGCGCCGCGGCCTGCACGGGCACGGCCTCCTTCTCCTCCTCCTCCTCCTCCTTTCCTCTTCCTCCTCCTCCTCCTCCTCCTCCTCCTCCTCCTCCTCCCTCCTTTTTCCTCCTCCTTTTCCTCCTCCTACTCCTCCTCTCTTCTCCTCCTCCCTCTTCTCCTCCTCCCTCCTCCCTCTCCTCCTCCTCCTCCTCCTCCTCCTCCTCCTCCTCCTCCTTCCTCCTCCCCCTCCTCCTCCTCCTCCTCCTCCTCCTCCTCCTCCTCTCCTCCCCTCCTCCTCCTTCCTCCTCCTCCCCCCTTCTACTCCTCCTCCCCTCCTCCTCCTCCTCCTCCTCCTCCTCCTCCCTCCTCCTCCTCCTCCTCCCTCCTCCTCCTCCTCCTTCTCCTCCTCCTCCGCCTCCTCCTCCTCCTCCCTCCTCCTCTACCTCCCTCCTCCTCCTCCTCCTTCTCCTCCCCCTCCTCCTCCTCCTCCTCCTCCTCCTGCGCCTCCTCCTCCTCCTCATCCACCGACCCCTCGCAAACCATCCCCAGGCGATCCAAGACTCGAATCCACAGGTCGGACAGGCGATCGAATGTAATCGTATCGGCGGAAAAATCGGCGACCGAGTCGGGAAAATTTGAATCGGCAAACATCGGCAGGCTAGTAGGCCTCCATTGGGAAATCGGATCCCAAATCGGAATCCGAAGTCGAATCGAATAGGAATCGGAAGCCATCGAAATCGAATCGAATCTCACGGGTAAGCCTTGGCGGCGAGCGAGAGGGGGAAATGAGGAGGAGAAGGCCTCTCAGAAGGCGGCGGGACTTCTCAGAAGCCATCGCGCCTTCTGGGAGGTTTTCTGTGTCTCCGGGGAAGGCTCAGAAAACTTCTCAGAAGGCCCGGGGACTTCCGAGCCTTCTAAAAAGGCCCGCCCCTTCTCACTTCCCCCCTTCGCTCAACGCCGTAAACCATCCCTTTCCGTGGCGTCACCCTCACTTAGGGGCGAACTCATGGTGGGGGCGATAAATGTGCGATGTCGGAAACCCTGACCTCAAAAACGTTTTCATATCTTGGGGGCGTTTTTCTTACTTCCGTCGCCTTCCACCGAGATTCTGCTTTCGCAAGAGGAGGCGGCCTCGTTTTGCTTCGCCGACCTTCCGCCGCAGAAGAGATGACAACTCCTTCGATCCTCGAAAGCAAGGGGCGAAAGGTGCCCTGCTCGGCCCCGAAAGGCCCCCTCTTGGGCGGTCCCGACGGGTCCTTTTTAGGGGGGCCTACAGAGGCCCCTTTTCTGCAGCCCTCGCTGTCATCGCCCGCCCTTTACGCGTCCTCCGACCCTCGCCTGCCAAGCATCTCCCCGGCCGCATGCATACGTCTTGGGGCGAGGCGAGGGCGATGTCACGGAAGGGAATGGTTTGCCAGGTGTCGGTCAGGCCGCCCCCGTCCTGCGTCACCGGGGCAGCGCCGCCTCCTGCCACGGCTTCCTCGATTTTCTGCACCTCCTCGGTCGTCCAGTTGTGGGCCTCTGGGTTGACGTGAGAGTCTACGAAGTCCACGAGCTTGGAGGCTGTACGGTCGTCCACGAACTCGTCTTCGGTTGCTCCCCTGTAGAACTTGACGGTGGGGAAGCCCTCCACGCCAGCACTCTCGCATTCCTTCCAGTCCTTGCCCTTCGCCCAGCCTTCCCCGAAGCACTCCTTCTGCGACCACACGACACCGCCGTCTTCGCCGCCATTCGCCTCCCGCCACTGCTGCTGTGCGTCCTTCCACACGGGCTCAAGGTCCTGGCAGTGCGGGCAATCCTTTGCGTAATACTCCACCACGCGCGCTGTGGCGTCTCCTGGGGCCACCGCTCCAGTCGTGTCCAACTCGGCCTTCGAAGCATCGGCGGCCACCGCCCCGGTCGTGTCCAGGTCGGCCTTCGGACCCGACAGCTGAGACTGCAGGAAGTCCTGGATGCCGTCGACTGACCGCTCGTCCTCGTACTCGACGCCGTGGCCCCTGGCCGAGGGGAAGAACTTGATGGTCGGGAAGGACTCGACGCCCTGCTGCTGGCACTCGGCGTAGTCGCGGCCCTTGGCCCAGCCTGGCCCGAAGCACTCCTTCTGCTCCCACGTGACGTCGGCGCCGTCGCCACGATGGCTCGCCGTCCACGCGTGCTGGGCGTCCCGCCAGACCGGCGCCAGGGACACGCAGTGTGGGCAGTCCTTGGCGTAGTACTCGACCATGTGAGGCCCCGCTGGCTCAGCAGCTGCGCCCGCGGCCGCGGGCCAGTGCAGCCCGCTGGACAGCGACCCCAGCGCGCCGGCGGCCACCCTCGACACAGAGCCCCATGCACTCAGCAGCGGCGACGGGTCCAGGAAGGAAACCAGCTCTCTCGCCGCGGGCGAGTGCGCGACCTGGAGGTGCTGGAGGAAGAGGAGGAGGAGGAGGAGGAGGAGGAGGAGGAGGAGGAGGAGGAGCAGGAGGAGGACCAGCACGTCATGGACCATGGCGGCGGCCCGCGCGCGCTGCCGCACTGCCCAAGACGAGGGGTGCTCGCAGGCCGCGCCCTCCAGCCAGAGTGGCCACGGATGGAAGGCAAGTGGGGCGGGGGAGAGAGGCGGGAAGGAGGAAGGTTTTTTGTTCACAAAAGCCAAGCAAGATTCTTGAGTTCAAGAAAGGCTTGTGTTGAGAGTCAAACACTAGTTTTTTACACTCAAAAAACCAAACTATTTTTGGAACCCAAAAAGCCAGACAACAGGGGGCGACGGGGAGGATGCGCAGGAGCAGAGGCAGCAGGGAGGCAGCGCGACCTTTGGTGCGCGACTCTCGGGAGGCGCGAGGGTGCCAAACCCGAGCGCAGAAGCCGCTGCTACCCTATCGCATTCAGCCATCTTGGGACCCCGGGGAGCCCGCACCAGAGGCCACTCTGGCTAAAGGTCGTTCTTACGTGTAGCCAAGAGGAGCAGAAGAGGGGAGACCGACAGGTACCGATACCGAAACCTCCCGGACCTCTCCCAGGGTGCGTTCTGACCAGAGTTCCGAGGCGAAGCCACCAGCGGTGGCGACGAGGACCTCCCCGGATGCCCCAGAAAGGCCAAAACGGGGCAAGGGTAGCTGTTCGTGTACCTTCTCCTCCGAGAAGAGGGGAGGAGCCGCGAAGCGGACGAGGACCTCCCAGGAGGCCCCCCAAAAGGAACAAAACGAAACGAGGGTAGCGGTACGGATACCTTTCCCTCCTCTGAGAGCAGGGGGAGGGCGCACGTGGAGGAGGAGAAGGGGGAGCCTGCGTGGAGGAGCAGAGGAGGGGGAGGAGCCCACGTGGAGGGGGAGGAGCACACGTGGAGGAGCAGAAGAGGGGGGGGAGCCCACGTGGAGGAGCATGGGGAGCACGCGGAGGAACGAGCGAGCCGCGGGGAGCGCAGCCGGCAGGGCCGCGCGGGGCCCTGGCGAGAGGAAAGCGCAGGGGGCGCCGGGGAGCGGGGCCCGGAGTCGGCGGCGCCCTCTGGCTGCTGGACGTCGCCCTCCGCGGGGTCCCTCCTCCTTCTCCTCCACCTCCTCCTCCTCCTCCTCCTCCTCCTCCTCCTCCTCCTCCTCCTCCTCCTCCTCCTCCTCCTCCTCCTCCTCCTCCTCCTCCTCCTCCTCCTCCTCCTCCTCCTCCTCCTCCTCCTCCTCCTCCTCCTCCTCCTACCCCTTGCCATCGCTCGGACGTCATGGCCAGTGCATGTCTGCTCGGTTTCGTGCGTGTTTTTTTTTGCCAGAGGATCTAGGATGCTCCTCGACGGTCCTCGCAGAGATGAAATGCATACGTCCGAGGGAGACCAGGGAGGAGGAGGGGGAGGAGGAGGCGGAGGAGGAGGCGGAGGAGGAGGAGGAGGAGGAGGAGGAGGAGCGAGCAGCCGCGGCAAGCGCAGCTGGCAGGGCCGGGCGGCTCCAGAGAGAGGAGAGCTGGGCGCCAGGAGCGAGGCCCGCAGCCGCGGGGGAGCAGCGCCCTCTGGCGCCACTGGAGGTCGCCATCCACAAGGTCCGCCCACCTAAGACGAAGCCAGGACAGGATGAATTCGGGGGATGGATCGAGAGTCTCGAACATCTGGCGGCTCTGAATGGACATCTCGGGCGCTGCGGCCTCCACAGAGCGTTCCGGAGCGCTCCGAGTGCGTTCCGGAACGTTCTGGAACGGATTTATCCTCGTCCTGGCCCCGTCCGACTCCCCCTCCCCCGCAGGCGTGCCTCTCCTGGGCGCGGGCTCCCGCTTGCTGGCCAGCAGTCCCCATGGCCAGCGCAACTCGGGCACGGGGGGCATGGGCAAAATCTTCACGCCCGCGTCCCGCGTATGCTGGCCGGACGTCGACAGCCCACAAGAATCACAACCGTGCTCGCGCACCGATTTCGCGCGGTCAGCACCACCTCCTCACTCATCGGCAGGTCTTTTGACGAAACCAATGGTTTCCTGCGGTAGCGGGCAGCCTTTCCTGTCTTCAGTTTAGAGTAATGAGTATCGCTTAACCGATCCCCATCCCCAGCAGCGTGGCCCGGGCCCCACTGGCCGATTTACCCCCCTAGATGGGGATACAGGCCGTTCCCTTCGGGTTTCGAGGGGTGTGTCCCCAACTGGGGCGGTAATTTGGTGGGGGTCTCGAAGGGGATGGGGATGTGGATGGGGATCGGTTAAAGGATACCGAAGTAAGGCTGATGACATTCGCCTGGTGCGTGAGCACCACCCCCGCACGGGCAGCGCATCTTGACGACCGTCTGCGCGGGTCGACCGCCCGCGCGGGGCCCGGGACAGGTCCTCGCAACCAGGCGTGTCTTAGTCGCTGCGCCCCTGCGTCGCTGCCGGCCACTCTGCGGGAGGCAGCTGCGGCTGCATGTTCAATCATATCCATGTATATAGATTGGAAAGGGCGGCATGATGCAACATGTTCGGCTACACGCAAGAGTGAGCCAGGGTAAGAGTGATCCTTCTGTGCGCGTTTCTTAGGGGCCACGAGGGGGCAAAACACAAACGCGCAAGACGCTACTATCGCAGCGCGTTCGGCGATCGGGGGGCCCTCAGGGGCCCGCGCCAGAGGTCACTCTGGCGAAGGCTCACTCTTACGCGTAGTCGACTCGTGGAAAGGGTGGCGCAGCATCTTCGGACGCGAACATGGGCGCCAAGGACACCGTCCCCCTCCGTCCAGGAGCAAGGAGAAGCGAGACACCACGACCACCACCAGCGCGAGGCGCCAGTGAGAGGGTCATCCTGGTGGTGTGCCCCCCTCCCCCCCCCTTCTCCCGCTCGAGACATCCCCTCACCCAAACTCGAGGCAACGTCGAGGACCCCGTTTCTGGAGGTCGCACCCCTGGTGGCGTTGTGGTGGTGTTGCCTCTTTTTCCTCCGACTCGCTCTCCTTCCGCCCGCGGCGTCCCTGGGTAGCCGCAGGAGGGCCGGGGCCCAGCGCACCGCCCGCGCCACGGGGCCCCCGACGGCCCTACTTGCCGGCGAGCACCAGCGGAACCGGCCCAGAGCCAGATGTGCCAGGCGGGGCGCGAATGGAGGCTTTGAGCTTCCACTGCGGGGAGCCAAGCGCCGCAGGAAGACTCGGAGGCCGCCGGATGAGCCAAAGGCTTGCCAGAGGCCCCGCACGCTGCGCGGCGGGTCCCCAGCTGCAGCCCGAGGGCCCTTGGCCAGGCCACCCAGGCCACGCGGCGTGAGCGAACAGGTGCCCCTTGAGGAGGGACGACAGAAGGGGACCCGCTCCGCGGAAGGAGGGGGAGGGGGAGAAGGAAAAGGAGAAGGAGAAGGAAAAGGAGGAGGAAGAGGAGGAGGAGGAGAAGGAGGAGGAGTTTTAAACACGCGTGCTCTCGCGGCACCCCGCGCAGGCGACTCGCCCGAGGCGGGGTGGGCCAGCGGCCTCATCGCACGGCTTCCTTGCTGCCACCTCTCTGCTGACTCCTTGAGTCTCCCCTCGAGCGGCGGCAGTCTGATGAACATGCTGCCACCGAGCGCTCAGAGCCCGAGGAGCAGCCTGATGGACGGCAACTGCCGCTCCTCGGCTCTGCGCTGGTCCAGGGACCGCGCAGGGCTGTGGCCTAACCCCTCGCCACGCTGGAGTCCTCTGCGGCCTACCCCCTCGCCGCGCAGGGGTCCTGAGTAGCCTAACCCCTCGCCGCGCTGGGGCATGCTGCGGTCTGACCCCTCACAACGCCGGGGTCCTCCGTGGCCTAACCCCTCGCCACGCGGGGGCCTGCTGCGGTCTAACCCCTCACCGCGCTGGGGTCCGCCGTGGCCAAACCCCTCGCCACGCTGGGGGTCGGCGCGGTATAACCCCTCACCGCGCTGGGGGCCATCGTGGCCAAACCCCTCGCCGCGCTGGGGGCTCCTGCGGTCTAACCCCTCACCGCGCCGGGGTGTTCCGTGGCCTAACCCCTCGCCACGCGGGGGCCTGCTGCGGCCTAACCCCTCACCGCGCTGGGGTCCTCTGTGGCCTAACCCCTCGCCGCGCGGGGGCCTGCTGCGGTCTAACCCCTCACCGCGCTGGGGTCCTCCGTGGCCTAACCCCTCGCCACGCCGGGGGTCTGCGCGGTCTAACCCCTCACCGCGCCGGGGACCTTCGTGGCCTAACCCCTCGCCGCGCTGGGGGCCCCTGCGGTCTAACCCCTCACCGCGCCGGGGTGCTCCGTGGCCCAACCCCTCGCCACGCAGGGGCCTGCTGCGGTCTAACCCCTCACCGCGCTGGGGTCCTCCATGGCCTAACCCCTCGCCGCGCTGTGGCCCTCTGCGGCCTGCCGCCTCGCCGCGCTGGGGCCCTGAGTGGCCTAGCCCCTCACCACGCTGGGGCCTGCTGCGGTCTAACCCTTCTCCGCGCCGGGGTGCTCCGTGGCCTGGCCCCTCGCAGCGCTGGGGCCTGCTGCGGTCTAATCCCTCGCCGCGCTGGGGTCTGCCGTGGCCTAACCCCTAGCCGCGCTGGGGGTCGGGGCGGTCTCACCCCTCACCGCGCTGGGGTGTTCCGTGGCCTATCCCCTCACCACGCTGGGGGCCGCTGCGGCCTAACCCCTCGCCGCGCTGGGGTGATGGGCCTCCTTCTTGTTCAGCTGTTGGCGTGACCACTCCGAGGAGCTGTTCTGCCATGGCCCTGCGTCGAGCTGCCTCACTTGGGCCCTGCTGCTGGATCCTCCTGCGCTCCGTTCCACTGTTGAGCCAGGCCATGCGGCTGATGTCTTCTGCCGCTCTGCGCTGGCTGTGTTGTCTGCTGGGCCCTGGGGTGTCACTGAAAAGCCGCTGGCATGGACTAGTCTGGAGCACCCTCAGCAAGTGGGATACGCGCGCCGCGCTCCACGCCTGCCAGCCCCGCTCGCCTGCTTGTTGGGTCCAGCCTCCTGCCAGCGATTGCATGAGCTAATCCAGGCGGTTTCTCTCAAGCCAGGCCAGCTCTTGCGCAGGGTCTTGGTCTTCGTCTCCTCGTTGCTGGCGGGGTCGCGGGTTCTGCATGCCTGCGTCCGTGGCCTCCCGCACGTACTTCATCAGGTCGGGCCCTGTCGGCTTGGCGATCCACGGCATCCCCTGAACGGTTGCACTGGCCTGGACGCAGGATGTGGCACCGTTGAGCTGGTCTGGAGTCTCAATGGTGTCCATGCCGTGGTCACTGCCATTACCTTCCAGCTCTGGCACCTCACTGTCTGGTTGCGTGGAGCTGTCGTCCAGGTACTCAGGGGTCCACGCTCTGTAGTCCTCCGCCGTGCTGGGCAGTGGCCTGCGCTCACTGCTGGGGATGCTGTGGGCGGGGTGGGGATGTTCATCCGCCTGCCCTGGAAGGCATCCATGTGTACCCTTGTCGCCTGCTGTCTGGAGCCGTGCGGGAGGGCGAGCATGTGTGTCATGAGCCTTCTTCGCGTCCTGTGGGTGTTCCTCCAGATGTCCTCGCAGAGGACGATGATCTGCTGGATCTCCCTTGACGTGGCGTCATGGACGCCCGTCCTTCCTCCAGCGTTGGTGACGGCGAGCAAGTACGGGACACTGTGCTCCATCCAGTCGTCCTTGTCCTCCCACACCCCCTGGCCCACCATGTTCATCCACTGCTCCGAGTAGCCCTCCATGTGGTCCACTAGCCGCCAGCTGGCCTGGGCTACTGAGTGGGGATGCCTTGGAGGTTGTAGCTGAGCTGGCTGCGGTGTCTCTGCTTCCGAGCTTTCTCCGTCCAGGTCGATCACCTCTGTGCTGCTCGCCCCTGGGTTGAAGCCCGCTGCCGTGACCTCCACCAGTGGCGCGGCTGCGGCTTGGCCCTCTTCCTGCTTTGCTTTTCGCGGCAGCCTCCCCTTCTGCAAGTCCGCGATGACCCTGCGGCCTGCTGTAGTGGGCGGGGCACATGGCTTGGCCAGCTTGCGCGCGACAGCTGCAACAATTCGGCTCTTGTGGTTCCCAAGGTAGCTGGTGGCCCCCCACTTCTCGCACAAGAGCCAACCCTGCGTGAACTGCCTCTTGTGGGTGTCATGGACGACCTCCGTGCCGATCTGCACAACCTTGAATTCGAGCCTCACGTTCTCGTGCTGGTCCAAGTGGCTGCTTTCTCTTCCCTGGCACTCTCCCGCCTCGGCTAGCCAGGTTCGTGCACTTTGCCCTTTGGCGGGGCCGCTTCTGCATGTCGCACGCCACCATCTCGGGTGTAGTTTGCGCAAGTCATGGCCGAACTGTTCTGCCTTCTCCCGTGCTGTCTGTGGCCTTTTGCGCTTAGCCTTTGGACGCTGAGCCACCTTGTTAGGATCCTCAACCGTCACCGCCATGCTGATGCCCAGCAGCCTGTTCTGGGCCGCCACCGTGATCTGGTCCCTGTTCTGCTGCTGTGCGATTATGGCTGGGTCCAACGCTCCATGCTCAGCTCCCCAGCTTGCGCACCTGTCCGCCATATCGTTGCCTATGGCCCACCGCGTCGGTCCTGTCCACCTTTCCAGCTCCGTCGGGTGCTCGATCATGTGACTGGGGATGTGGTGGCCCATGATGTGGTCGGTGCTGTTCTGGAGCTGCCGCTTGGCCATGAGCCAGGGGTCGAAATTGGCGCCCTGTAATCGAGGTCCTCGCATCCAGGGCGTACTTGCAATCGATGGTATTGAGCCCACGTGCTGATGCCGCCGTCGTGTAGCCGATGGCCTTGCTCATGGCCGTGAGCTCCGCCCTTGGCACCGTGTGCGGCGCCCTGATCGTGCCGTACCAAGCTGCCACCTCCTGCGGCAGGCCGTCCTGGTCGTACCTGAAAGCCATCACCGCCCAGCCACATCTCCGTAGCCTGGGGCCCTTGGCTGTCGCACCTGCCCCCCCCTGAGCCATCCGTGAAAACGCAATCGGCATGGACTTTGTGGCCCGTCTGCACTGCAGCTTGGGCCTCAGCGTCGGCGCAGAAGATGTGGGCCGCCTTCTCGACGTCCTCGACTGGATCAACCTGTACTCCCCATGCAGCTGGCGGGATCCCTCTGAGCCAGAAGTGCTCGTCCTGCTGCTGGTCGAGCGCGTCTATGGCCTTCTTGGCTCGGTCTGTGTTGTTGCTGTGGCCAATCTCCTCGTTTGCGGGGCAGGTGTAGTAGCGGTGCTTTTCCGCCGCGGCCGCCTCTCCGCACCTTGCGCAGATGTCTCCCCCTTCCTGGTTGAGGTTCGCTGCTCTGCGCCGCTCCCGCGTCCGAATACCTGCCACTGCGATGGTCTCCAGCATGGCCGCCTCGGCGTGTTGCCCTTTGCGCCGCCTCCTCCTCAGGTGTCTTTGCAGCTGGTAGAGGTCCCCCCCCCCCCCCCCCCCTGCAGTCCTGCACCGCGCCGATGCTCCGCCGCTTGCTGCCAGAGCTGTTGCTGAACGCTCAGCTGGACCTCCTGGAGGAGCGCTCCGGAGTGTGGGATGTCTTCTGGTCGGTGCGCCCACTCATCTCCTGCTGGGCTGGCCCAGCTATCCAGCCGCCTAGGGTTCCAGCCCAGCCCTAGCAGCTGCACTATCACGCCTGCCATGGGGCCCTTGACCTGGTTCCACCTCCTGTTGGGCTCCAGGGCCTGCAATTTGTCGTACAGCATGTGCCAGCCTCTATGGTACCGCTTAAGCTCCGTCGGGTGGTCTACGATGGTGAGCCAGAGCTGCTTGACTTGTTCCACGATGGCCCTGGTGACCGCCCCCTGCGCGCCCCTCTGGATCAGGAGGATGGTAGATGTGCATCGGCCTGCTTTGTGCCCTCTTGTGAGCAGCGCTGCCCCTGTGGCCCTGACCTTGGTCGCCTCCGCGGGGGTGATGCCGTGCGCTGGCAGGTCCCAGGCTTGTTGGCCATAGGCCCCCGCTGCGTATACCTTGGCCACACCCCTGGCGTCCGTCTTGGCGAGCTCCTTGAGCTTTTCGACGCGCTGCTTTGCTTTCGCCTGTCTGGCTGCATGGGCAGGCCGCTTCAGCTGCTTGCCCAGCCCCGTGTCCACGCCCAAGTCTCGGACAACTCCTGGCTGCTTGTTCGGGGTGCCCAGGTCATCCAAGATGCTGGCGATCTCCTGCTGGAGGTCCTTGTCGGAGGCCACGACTGCCGTCTTGATGGATATCGGGATGGAGAGCCTCGCGAAACCCTGATGCACCAGGGCGGCCACGTATTTCACCAGATATATGACCTGCTTTCTTGCTCCTTCAATCTACAGGGCCAGGTCGTGCAGGTACTGCTGGATCACCACGTAGATGTAGTGCCTGCGCGCTGCATCCATGATGCAGTAGGGGAGCGGCCTCGTGAGGTCCACGGCCTGGCCACAACCAGCTACCATGCTGCTGGCGGGCTCGAAGATGTCGGAGAAGAGGCTGTGGGCCATGATGGCCCTCGGCGCCAGGTACATCTGTACTGCCATGGCCAAGGGCAGCAGGGGGTAGTTGAGGTCGCTGGCCTCCTCGATCAGCTGGTCGAGGTCGATGTTATCATAGAAGTTGACCGCGTCGTAGAAGATGCCTGCTGCGTGGAAGCCCATTTGCACTGCCGCCTCTGCCCTCATCAGCCTGTGCATCGCCACGCTGAGCGCTGAGGAGCCTGCCACTGCCGTGTCCCAGAAGCCTGCCGCATCCCTGCTCCAGGTGGCGATGATGGGCCGTCTGGCCGCACTCCGAATACGGTAGGGCACGGGCATGAGGCCGATGGGTCGCTCGCCTCCTGTGCCTGTTTTTTTTTTCCTCCCATCAGCACCTCCAGCACCAAGTAGAACTGCCATGGCCACGCCGCACGCTCCTCGCAGTTGTTGAGGCACTGCACGAACTCCGTGGGCCCCTGGGCGCCCGCGGCCTTCAGTTCTGGCGCCCTCCACCAATCAGCTCCCTGGCCCGCGTTGCGCTGAAGGTGCTGGATGATGGAGCCGACGATGTTATTGCTGAGGGGCTCGATTGCTTTGTCTTGGGCTAGCGCTGCCGTCCTCAGCTTGCCCAGCGCCTCCTGGATTTGGTCTGGCTTGTGCGCATCTCGTGTCCACCGCCGCTGCCGCGCGCCCTTGCGCAGGTCCACCAGCTGCTGCGGGTGCGGGACCACCTGACCCTCATGCTCCAGGATGTCCTCGATGTGGCTGCGCCCCGCTGCCTTGGTGCAAGCCTGGGCCAACTTGGCGCTGCCTGCCGTGACGTCGTGCACCCAGTGGATGTACGCTTTCTTCACTGCCTTGGTGAGGTGTTTGGCTGCGCTCCTGACTTTTTCAGCGACCTGGTGGCTGGTGGCAGGGTCCACCAGGGCTCCCCCTGCGATCATGCCCAGCGTCGCCAGGAGGATCTGCTGCTGTTCCTTGACCTCGCCTTCTTCGTTGTGCCTGCCGCAGTCTTGCTGTTGGAGCTGGCGTGCGAGCTGTCGTCGTCTGTGAGCCTGTGGCAACGTGTTGTGGCCGCTCTGGCTGCGGGCCTGCTGCAATTGTCGACTGCCCGGTCCACTGCCTGCTCTTGGAGCCGCTTCATGTGGTCGTCGTGCTGCTCCTTCTGGTTCAGCTGCTGGCTGGCGGTCTGCTCTGGGTCTTGGTGCCCTTGCGCCCAGCGCCTCCCTCGTCATCTGCCTCAGGCGCTGCGAGCTCTCGCCAATGCATCTTCTCCAGCTCGCGTCTCCTCATCGTTTCCAGCTCTGCTAGGCCCATGAGGAAACCTTGTCGTCGCGGGGCTGCATGCCGCCACGCTCGCTCGCAGAGGTCCCTGAGGATGTCGCCGAAGCTGGCGCGGGGCTGCCAACTCCTGAGGAGCCGCCCCAGGCCACGGTTGCCACCGTTGGAGAACACCGCCTCCAGGAAGGGCGGGCCCCACTCCATCCAGTTGGTGTTGCCCGCTGGTGCCTGGCTCAGGCCATCCATCCAGATTGCAGCCCACCTCTCCAGGTCGTCTCTCATACTCACAGATTCTTCACGTTCTCTCTGGTGGCGTTCATCATTCCAAAGGCCTGGTGGGGGAATGCCCATGTCGCATGGCCCTTCTTTCTGACCCCCCCCCCCCCTGGTGGTCGGCACCCTCTGCCCCCGAAGTGCCACCTGGCTGCGGGAGCGATCAATGAGTGCCACCTGGGGCAGTATTCTCTAATCCAGCAGCATGACGACGAAAGCACTGGTGGCCCTTGGTGCTGTCCCGCTCTTCTGGGAACTGCTGGTGGTAATCCTCGCCGTCCTGCTTCTGGAGGCAATCCCCGTTGTCCTCGTCGGCGTTCTCCCACTGCAGGTGTGCCCGATGCAGTCCTGGTCATCTGGGATCCGCTGGTGGTTATCCTCGCCGCCCTGCTTATCTGCGGGCTGCTGGAAGCAATCCTCGCTGCCCTCCTCGTCCTGGAAGGGGTCGTAGCCATCCATGTCTACGGTGCTCCGTGCTGCTGGCGGGGGGCGGGCGCCCCTCTGCATCCCGTCTGTGCTGCTATCTGGTCTGCTGTGGGGCTGGCCCATGGTGCCTCCTCCATCGCCTGTTCGCGCTGCCTGGTGCTGTTGGTTCTGCCCCTGGCCCTTCTCCGCGGCACCCAACGCACGCGCGTCGCGATGAGGAAGTTGGCGAATGAGCGAGGCAACCTCCGACCACCATGCGTGGATCTTGCGCTCCACTCCTGCCCATGGGATGGCTGGGGCCGTGTCCTTGATGCTGGCGCTCTTGAATGTCGGGGGGCGGCCATGGCCCATGCGCGCGCCCCGCTCGTCTTGCGGGGTGCCGATGCTCTCGCGCAGGCTGGGCTCGAGGGTTCCCGCGAAAAGGTCGCACTGCTGCCCCAACTCCAGCATGTCCTGCTCCATGAGCCTGCTGATGACGGTGCCTTGCAGGTGCGGCGGGGGCACTTCTCGCGCCTTCGCTCTGGCCTGCTCAGCTGCAGAGTTCCAGAGCTCATCTGAGACCACGTGCTGGACCTCCTTGTCGTAGTACAGCTGGGGCACGACCTCCATGTCGTTCTCGGCCTCCTCGCAGCCTGCTTCTGCGAGGGCTTGGCGTCTCCTCCTCATGGCCTCTTGCCCTCCTCGAGCTGCGCGGCGACAGGCTGCCCGCGACTTGGGCATCCTCTCGGTGGTTACTGGCGGATTGATGGCTGCTGGGCGGCGTAGTACTCTTCCTTTGAGCTGAAGTGGTATTCCTTTCAGCTCGAGGCGAACTCCGATGTAGGGCCACCACGGTGCCTTCCTTATCAACTTAACGCCATCGAAGTAGGGGGCAAGGCCCTGCGCAACCAGCGCGTAGTCTAGGCAGCGCGCCGTGCCTTCTGCTGGAAAGCACGTGGGAGCTCCTCTTTCTGCGGCCACCACCTGCGCATTCAGCACCCTGGGCCAAATGCTGTCGTTGAACTCCGACGGCGCGATGTTGAAGTCTCCCATCGCTGCCCAGGGGCCTCCCCAGACTGCCATCTTCTCCCTCAGGTCGCAGAGGGTGTCCACATTTCTGTCGCTGAGGCTCTTGCCGCACTCCAGATAGAAGAAGGCGACCGCGAAGAGCACCTGGCGGAGGTGGGCGATTACGACCGTGATGTCACTGCCCTCCTCGTTGAGGTAGTTGTCCTCGAACCTTGCGAGCCGATCCTGCAAGTCGAGCGGGCCTCTGGCGATGGCACATGTTCCCCCTCGTGTGCCTTCACCTTCTCCTGGCCGTGCTCGAGTCCAGTAGCTGCGCAGGCCGTGCCGTCGCAGCGCTGCTCGCGCCCTACTGATCTGCACTGGCTGGCGAAGGTGATGCTCCGCAATGCCAATGATGTCCCTGTCCTTGGTGCTGCTGATCTCCTTGAAGTAGTCCCGTGCCTGCGGGCCCCAGGTCGTGATGTTGAAGAAGTCCACGTTGAACTGGCGGCGAGCCTTCTTCTTGCCCGCCTGCGCCCGACTACCCCAACGGGGGTTCTCCTGACC